AAAAAAATCTTTTATTCGGTTGTTTTAATAGAACTAAATTATACTGATGTAAGAAAAAAAAATATTCAGTCTCCTTCTAAAATAAATTCTCATTAAACAAATCTTACAATTAGGCTCAAGTTTTAAACTTAATTAAGATTTTAAAATTAAACAGGCACAATAAAGGGTAGAGGAAACCCCCCAGTTTTTTGATAAGTGGATACTAATAACAAGTAAGCTGAACATCGATATAATTGTCATCAATAAACTGGCCAGTCTCATTGCTACTGAAGAAGTTTACTTAATTGCATGGACAACGATGATTCTCTTATCTCAGAATCTAAATCTTCCTAAATTCAGTACGCCTAAGTAATTAAAACTTGCAATATATCTGTTGGGCCAACATCGGGCCAATGTACTCATCCCAACATAGAAGAGAACATTTGCCCTAACATAGGACGGACCAACGTTGGGCCATCGTAGTCTTACCAGCTTAAATGATCTTTTTAATTAGGCCTTAGTATAACAAACACTGGGCCAACGTTAGATCAACGTAACGCTCCCAACTCTTGCACACTCTCCGTTAGTTCGCAGTCCAACTGTTGGGTCAACGTTGGACAAACGTGCTCATTCTAACTAAAAGAAAACTTAAAACAAGCTTACATTGGGCCAACGTTGGGCCAACATACTGTTTCCAGATTAAATTATCAACTTCGTTAAGGTTGCATTACAAACATTGGGCCAACGGTGAGCTAACTTTGAACCCCCAACTTCCTTAGAAAATATATCAGAAAGAAATTAGTTAATGTTGGCCAAATGTTGGGCCAACGTAAGAATCCCAACATGGTTGGGTACTAAAGAGATGATTCACAAGGTAACGTTAGTCCAACGTTGCCTCAACATTGTCTACCCAACGCCAACTATCGGCCAACCATACAATAATTGACCAACGTTGGCCCAGCATAGTCATACTGTCAGGGAAATGATGGGGTAATCGTAATCAGCTGTAATTAATGATGAGTGATCCGTAATCATGTATTTTTCTTACAAGTAATTGTGAGAACTGCGAACCATAGTATTGTTCTCCCGCCTATCTCCAAGTCAATTTTCAAAAGATAACACATTTGAGTGATTTTTCATATCTATATAGATATTTATATGAATTTTCATAAAACATTACTTCTTTGGAAAAACTAAGAGAGATAACTCTATAATTTTGGTAAAAGTTGTGTTTTTCACTATAGAAATGAACGGAAAACGGAAAATATTTTAAAAACATCTTTCCCACCGTGAAACAAAAATTCCTTTTTACATGTAATATGGACTGTCATTTTACAAATTCCTACCAAAGCATTTTGTGTTTCACGGGGGGGGGGGGGGGGGGGGTATGTTCAAAGACCAAAAACTACAAAAATGATTATTTTTTAACCAATTTAAAAGGGGTTTACAACTAAAAAATTGTATTTTATTAATAATATATGTTTAATTTTATAGGAGTAAAACATAAGAAAAGATTTAAGGAACATTTATTCATATCCAAGAATATTTAAAATGTGGTGATGCTTTAAAGCCCGATTTCAATGAAAAATATCGTCTACCCCCCTTATTTCAAGAGCTAAAATTAGGGTAATTAACTATTTTACACTGGAATTAAAATTATCAGTCAATTGCCATTGGACTGTTCTTTGCATACAACAAAGATTTTACGACCAAATTGCCATTAGTATTGAATTAAATGTGTGTAAAATGTAGGCGGGAATCGAGAGTTAGCGTGCGTAGTTCTTTATCAAAGTGCGTAGGTCTAATCATTAGCTCTGAAAAAGGTCTCGCAATCATGATTATTTTTTTTAATTACTTCTATGATTGCAATATTAATGGTAAGAATGCAGTGCATAACTTCATTTTCATTATTGAGATTCACTGAATAATTTTCAGTCTATAAATGTGTCTTTCTTTCCTTGAATATTTTCTTTTGAGTATGAAATATTGTGCAATAACTCATTTTTGTAGGTATTAAATTTTCGTTGTTTTGTGGTATGAAGATATCCAAGAAATCATGTCCATCACGAAATGTTAAAATTTCAATTAAATTTTTGTCTACCAACCACGAACTCAAATCCCACGAACCAATATTTTTCACAATCCACGATAATTTTGACCTACGAAAATAAATGAGTACTTGTGTGTAGAATCAGAATATTTTTATCAATATATGTTCGCAGATGACTTGTGATCAATGTCTATAATATCAAAACATATTCTTCAACTTCACATGAGGAATGGTTTGATAAATGTTGAAAAGCTGGTAAACTCCCTGTTGACAAATTGCGGTGTGAGTAGTGTTTTTCAGCTTCTGAGATAGTCCCTATCATAATTACTTTTATTCACGTATGTCTGTGCTTAATCAATATTACGTACTGTGTTAAAAAAGTCAGAAGCAGGAAAGCAGCAACCTCGAGTGTAAAAATGTAATCTCCTTTTAGCATAATCTAGCTACGAACTGTCACGCACGGTTTCAATGGCGGACAATGAGTTTTATCTTAAGTGACCTTATATGAAGTTGGCAAAAGCCAATCTATCAGTGTGCATGAACATGCAACTGTGGATGAATTAAAAAAAAAAAAAACATGTAGGAGGAAAAGATCTTGCACAGTGCTTTTCTATTATGTCCATGGACATCAAAGTTGTTCGAGTAGAAAATCAGGATATAAAACAACGTATCGGTGATCTAGAAAATACTTCTGAAAGTCTTAACCAGATATTTCAGATTCTTTTCTGGGGTGAATGAGGCACTAGAGGATGAGCAAATTGAGTGACCTAATTTTAAAATGTAGGCCAGAATATGGAATCCGGTCATCCGCGGAATAGAGGGATCAAACGACGAGCGTCCAAAAGTCACAAAAAGGTTTGAACCATTTCCTGAATACTGTTCTAACGTTTAAGGAAGCATTTGGTAATAGGGCCATTTATTTTCAGTACTGAGTATTTCTTATCACTGATCGCACTGGTGCTATGGCTATTTTATTCTTATCAGCATGTTTTGCGTCGTTATTAACATCATTACTTACATGTAACAAGTTAAGATTGATGCAAAGTTATTATAAAAAAAAAAACAAGATCAGAAATTATTTCATCCTGCCCCAACATTCGGTGAACCACGCTAACAAAAGTTATGAAGAACTAAAAGTTGTTGTCGTTTTTGTTTTTGATACTTAATATTTAAGATGCATTTTGTTAAATATTTGCCTTTTATAGACTTCCTTATGAAAATGCAACTTGCATACGGTGTCATGTGACGTCACAGTCAAGCCCTCAAAATGTTTGAAGATGCGGAGTTTTATTTTAAAGTAAATATGTATAAAAGAAACAAGCGCACTTAAACGGTTGTACCTTCATCCGTATTACCTCTTCCAACAGAAAATTTGACTTCAAGCTAATTCTGATGAGTTTCAAATTGCACAAATCCATTTAGTTCATTTCTTAGCTCCTGAAAGTTCTTTCTGTAATTTGATTTTGGGATGTTAACAAATATACGATTATTTAACCGATAAATGAAAATTGGAATGTACATATTTATTTTTCATTACACACAAAAGTGCTCTCAGGCACTGGTCGTCACACATTTTTCAAAGAAATATATTTCTAAAAGAAAATATGCAACGTCAACTACCTTTATCAAAAGGAAATATGAAAAATTTCAGAAATTTTTTCGGCATCCGTTTTGCCTAAAAGTAAGTAATTTTTAGCTGCATATTTTCAAAAGTTATGATGATGATACTAACAACACTATTTTCCAGATAGTATATTTTGAATCCTGAGTACCTCAACCTTCCCTACCAGCTAACGAAGAACATGAATAGAAATACTCCCCATGTCCTGATTTCTTTTGATAGTTCGACCCCCTTCCAAATTAGGACAGAGATAAGAAATTCGGTAGGACATTTTATGAATTTTTCTTTTGATTTGAGTTGGTGCATAAATAAAACTTCTGATAATCAATAAAATACTAAGATATATTCATGTATTTGTTACTTCAAAGATGCTTCTAAGACGTCTTATACATGTATATAGTATGCATTTAATTCTGGTTTTAAGAACAATACAATGATTTCGCCACTCTAGGAGTACTTTAATTATTCACTGAACACAAAAGGCTAGGATAATAATGTACTTTTGGGGTGGCTGTATCATTACATTGATGACAAAAAACACTTATTTGCTTAATAATATAATTTAATGATTAAATAATACAATATTTTTTCTCGATTGTTCGAGAAAGTAAAAGGTTGGGGTCAATTACATGTACTTTGAAATGTAATTAAATACTTTCAAATACATTGATAATTTTGTCAATTACTTGCAATTACAATTACATTGATTTTAACAAATGTAATTAATTACTCTCAATTACTTTGAAGAATGTATTTTAATATACATCAACTACTTTAGTTTTATTCCAAAAATTTTGAAGATCAAATACATGAATATTTTAAAGCAGCAATATTATTAAATTTGAACTTTCCTATTGCCCTGGGCAGTGTGTTTATGCTGTATAAACATTATAGGCCATTTAATTATTGATTTAATTATTGAACAAACACAAACTCATGCCAAACAGTACTGGTATGCATCATGATAAAACACATTTTTTTTAAAAATATGTAACTTGAAAAACAAAGTATTTGAAATGTAATTGAAATGTAATTGAAAAATACATGACATTTTTGGAATGTATTTAAATACATTCAATTACTTGTAATTGAAAGCAAACTCAATTACAAATAATTTCAATTGCTCTGAAAAAAATGTATTTAAATACTGTAAATTACAATTACTCATTTCAATTACCCCATCCTTGCTGGTATATATGAATAGATTGATCGATTTTTTTTTACATCCCTTGCGATTGTTAAATAGATCTTTCAAGAAAAACCTACCTTATATACAATTTTTTCCCTATCGATCACCAAATATATCTAAAATTCAGAGAAAGAAGAGAAAATATTGACTCTTAGTCTTACCACTTTCCCTTGATATGCTTGCACCCATTCGTAAGGGATCAAGCTGATCTATTGAGTTGGCACAAATATCGTAGTTGCCATGCAAATGAAAGAACCCCTCCCTTATATCTGTAGCGAATCCATCCAATTTTGTAGGAAATTCTTCTTCACCGACGGGAACAACACCTTTATAGGAACAATATATAGCTATACAGGGTTCAAATATGGCCTTTTTCTTCTTTGCTTTGTTCTTCTTTATTCGAAATCGTGATGCACGGATCATTTCCAGGTTTGAGTGTTTTCTAAAAATTGAATCTGCATTTTTTTTCAGGTACTTAGTGATTTCTTTTATCTTTTCATGACCATGCTCTTCATATTCCTCCGTTTCTTCCGAGACTGAATTTTCTCCCCAAAGTTTATAAACAACAGTGAAGTGTTCCCTATCACATTGGTATTCTTCATTTTCAATAGCTTTCTCACTCTCAATAACGGAAACAATGACTCTTGTCCCCTTTTCTATTTTTTCTGTACTTGAGCAGGCATCTCCCATGTATAGATGTCTTACATTTATTGCTCCATGCTTCTGATGAAACCAATCTTCAAATTTTTGCAAAATGTTGTCTTTTTTTGAAGTATCTAAGTAAAATTAAGGACAGATCATACAGACAAATACTATATGCTTGGATTGGTATGTATATTTTTGTATACTTTCTATGATGTTAAAAGTTATACTTTGTGCCGTCCCCCTTATAAATATATACATTTTTTTTTTCACTTTATTAACATTATTATGGAAGTTTGAATGAAAAAAAAAATCTATACTTTTTAGGTTATTCATTTGCTTAAACATACTTTAAAGTGTTATTTTTATTATTTTTGAAAAAAAAATTGTTTTCATGTCTTCTGTCTTGAACTGAATTTAAACGAACAAGCATTTTGCTTACGCAAGGAACTAATATAGTATCTTCTAACATATCATGTGTGATGCATGATTATTGGGATGTCTGTCAGTCATTAATTAATATGTAAGGTATAACTTCATACCTTTTTCTGGTTTGCGTATTTTATCAGGTGATGAATCTCCTGATCTACTATTAGGTCGTTTCCTGCTTACAGAAGCCATTTATCCTAATAAAATCAAATATTTTTTTAGTATGAAAAGAATATCTTCAAAATAAAATTTAAAAAAGTACATGATATAGTCTCCCTTTTCAGGTTTACCGAAACAAAAGAAAAATTTGATAAAGATGATGAATTCTAACTAGAGGCTTATGGCCAAGACTCCCACCTGAGTATATATAGCCCTTCTGTTCATCATGAAATATATGTAGATAACGAACAGTATTCAAGCTCAAGTCCAATAAATAATACAAATTTTGGAGCAGAGCAAACACGGACCTCTAAAACACCAGAGTGGGATCAGGTGCCATATATATATATATATATATATATATATATATATATATATATATATATATATATATATATATATATATATATATATATATATATATATATATATATATATATATAATATTTTTATGTAAATCTTTGATCATATTATGTCCTTACCTTAGCCCAATGGGTCATGATATGAACAAATTAAAATTTTCACTACTTGATGATGCGTCCATATAAATATAATTAATCATGACCTTGCTATTTATGAGAATTTTAAAGATATTTTTATACATTCTTCTGTAAAACTTTGATCCTCTGTTGTGGCCCCGCCCTTTACGAGGGGCCATAAATTAAACGAACTTTAATTCACATTACCTGAGGGTGCTTCCATATAAATATTACTAATCATGTCTCTACTGTTCCTGAAAAAAATTTTTCAAGAAGTTCTCATGTATATTCCTATTTTAAGCTTTGATCCTTCATTTCTGTCCCATACTACATCCAGTGGTCATGATTTGAAGGAACTTAAACCTACACTATCTGAAAATGCATTCAGATAAAAATGAATGATCATAGCTTTGCTATTTTTGAGAAGATTTTTTTTCACAAGAGTTCCCCTATATATTCCTATGTATAATTTTAATTACTTTTTTGACCCGACCTACTCCATGAGGACATGACAAATTGCATTTTACACTACCTGAGGATGCTTCTTTAGAAATATGCCTTACTTTGGCTTTTGTATTCTTAAAAATAAAAATAAGAAATAAAGACATTTTCTAAATTCTCCTGTGTAAAACTTTGAAACGAAGTTGTGGCCGCACCCTACTTCCAGGGTAGCTGCAGAACTGTAGCTCTATGGTTGAGAAAATTCGGATGGACAAACCAGATCCAAGCATATTCAAAACCTTCGATTTACGGCGACGCTTTTTTTATCGCGCGCTTCGGGTATTACTTCTTGTATTATATGCCCTCTGCCGCCAAAGGAATGGTATCCGTTAAACAACCGTATATTTAACTCATAATCTTGACACTTTATATACTTTTCAAAGGTCCCACCTTGCATGAACCCAACATGAATGTCGGAATGATAACTTTTTGAAAGACATTCCAAGGCCACAAGAAGCTGTTTAGAACCATTGAAAGACTATAAATAAGTGATAAGTTGAGGTTCAATTTTTATATGTTTAATTAATGAATACCATTCTTTTGGCGGGGTAGGGCATATAATACAAGAAATAATACCCGAACAAAAAAGCGTCGCCGTAATTCGAAGGTTTCTAAAGTGCTCGATTCTGTTGCTCTCTGGTTTTCTTGTCTAATTTTCTCAACCAGTGAGCTACAGGTTTGCAGCTTCCCTAAGGGTCATGATTTGAGCAAATTTGAATCTACACACTACCTAAGAATCCTTCTTTAATTGACTAATTATTGTCTTACTGTTTTCGAGAAGTTTATTTACAAGATTTTTTTCTATATAATCCTATGTAAAACTTTATTCTTTGCTGTGGTCCCACTCTAACCCCCCCCACCCCACCCCACCCCCCCCCCCCCCGTGGCCATCATTTAAAAAAAAACTTGAATCTACAAGGAGTTATCAAAAAGTTCGTGGAATAGCACCATAAAATTAAAACCGCTCTAGGTACATAAATGAATTTTAACATATTTAGTTAGCATAATCTTTTCTATCTATAGAACAAACCACAAATCAGTTTTATTTTTTCATAAATTGTTAATGTTTTTGTAACGATGGTATGTCCAGGCGGTGCAACCTCGAACATATTAACTTTTTTTTTCTACATGAGTGTAGGTGAGAAAAACTCTTTTGATATAAATATTTGTCGTCTTAAAATCCCATTAATTCAGGGATGGGGTATGACACAACTGTTTCGTAAAATTTGAAATTTTTACTTCATTCTGTAAATTTTATTAAATTTTAGTTTAAATTTTATATGGAGTGTCCAAACAATGAAGGGCTTGAAAATAACATCATAAAGGGGAAGGGATTTCGTTTTCCAACTATCTATCAAGTTTTGCCCCTGGAAAATCTGGTATAGACCTAAGGAATGATTAAACGGACTACAAAGAAATAAAATTCATCTAGAGTAATTGTTTTAAATGCCGAAACAGATTCAGAGAGATGAGAGATGCACGGTTAATGTCGATTTGTAGTCGGGGTTTCAAAAGCCAGTCACGTCGAAAAGTGACATTGCATGATCCTGTGTGGTAGATATTGAACTCCGACAAGCAACAAGCAAACTATGCCAGCATAATCAAGTGAGGATTTTCCCTTATGTATAGATCTATTTACAATATTATATGCATTGAAAGCAGCTGTTCGTCACATCGTGAAGTAAACAAGACTGGTTTAAGTCCTTACTTAACTCTAGGGAATCTCATCAAGATAAATGTATGAGGTAGAGGGAGCGGACATTGAGAAACGATGACGTCGTCGGACGTTATGAAACTAAACAGCGTAAGCGCCGGTTGATAATATAATTTTGTTTTATTTTATAATAATTTAGCAAATTATCAAGCTAAATTATTCAAAATATCTTAAACTTTTGCTGTTTTATGTTCCTTATAAATTTTGTAAGCACAGACTTCATAGTATTAATTTTATCTCATCAGTCTACGAACTTTTTGATAACCCATCGTACAATACCCGATGATGCTTGTGTATTAATATGACTATTAATGGTTTTGTTGTTTCGAGAAGAAAAAAAAGATACTTTCTTAGTCTTCTCATGTAAACTTAACCCCCTGTTGTGGCCTCGCTGTATCCCCGGGGCTTACGATATAAACAAACTTAAATTAACAATATGTAATGACGATTTCTCCAACGTTTTTTTTTTCTTTTGTGGTCCAAATGTTTTTGAGATGATTTTTAAATATGCCAAAAAATTTTCACGAATTCTTAATTATATATCTCGATTTGAAAGGAGGATTAACACTTCCTGTATTAAAAAAAAAAAAAAAAAAAAAAAAAAAAAAAACTTTAATTCCATTCTTCCAAACACGTTTTGTGGCAAGTTTAGATAAGAAAGGAAGTCGAAAATGTCATAAAATTTCAGACACCGCATAACACACGAAGGATGACAGACAGATGGACACAGGACACTTTTTGATCGGAAAAGCTTTCTTGAGTTTTCAGGTTAAATGACCTAATATGTAGAATTGTATTACAAAAGTTTGGCTATGTTTTTGTTATCCAAAATCATCATTTCTTCTCCAAACTTTCTATAAAATACTGAATTTTTATGCCCCCGTAATCGAAGATTCAGAGGTAAATAGTTTTATCACTTTCTGTCTGTCTGATTGTCTGTCTGTCTCTTTCTTTGGGTACTTACATATTTGACCTCTTTACCTTGAGCTTGGAGTTTGACCCAATTTTGCAAGAATTTATCAACTTTAACCTTGGCCATAACTTTTGAAAAGTTGGTTGTAGAGCTTTCATACTTCATATGTGTATTAATTGTTAAAAGACCTTTCCAAGGCTATAAATATATTTTTTACCTTTTAACCTTGAACTTTGAGTTTAACCCACTTTTAAAAAAATTTAACCTTGGACATAAGTTTTCAACAGTTAGCACTAGGGCCTTTATTTTTCACAGGTGTGTTTCATGTGACAAGTTCTTCCTTTGAATACCAACAATTTTGACCTTTTGACCTTGGCCTCGGAATTTGATCTACCGTTTGAAAAACGTTAACCTTGGCCATAACTTTTGAACAGTTGGTGCTAGGGCTTTAATATTTTACATGTGTATATCTTATGACAAGGCCTTCCGCTGGGTTCCTTTAATTTGAACCTATGACCTTGGAGTTTGACCCACATTTCAAAAACATTAACCTTGGCCATATTTTTTTAGTTGTTAGTGCTTGGGCTTTCATATTTTACATGTATATTCATTGCGAACATGTCCTTTCTTTGGGTAACAACTTTTTCCATTCTTTGACCTCGGAGCTTTACTTGCATTACAGAAACTTCAACCTTTGCCAAAAGCTGTCATACGGGGCATCAGTGTTTCACAAACACATCTTGTTTAATCATATGATTGCCCTTGAAATGAAAAAATTCAACAGTCATAGTTTTTTAAAGTGATGTTTTGCAAAATAAAGCTTTCACTTAGATCATCTTACTTTGAAAACCGTTGTGCAAAAAATATTGGTAACGATTGACGTACACTAATGTTTTCAGCTCTGATTTCTATCAGCAGAATTTTCGGGAAAAAAGAGATTTGACATCGGGTTGTACTTATGAATGTTTATCATTAAAACTCTTGGTACATTTTGGGCTTTAATTTAAAACTAGTAATTTTTAATGAATAGAGAAGCCGAAGTTCAGTATAAGCAATATAGAAATCGATGCAGCATGCAATCTTGCTCCTTCTGATGAGCGCTGAAAATGCAATACACTGTACTATAATCGTAATTACAAGTGTTTTGTTTTGTTATGACGGAGGCAATTGAAGCTGTATGGAAATGTGTCAGATTTCCATTAACACACTTAAAAGATACTTTGTTTTTTTCAAGGATCAAAATTATTTGCTTGTTGAAATGATATAAACAAGAAAGACATGGGCTCCAACAATCACTTTACTCACTGTTACTATATATTGAGATGACTGATTTCCTTAACTCTTGTTAAAGCCCTACCTAACCATTGGAGCAATGATTTAATCAATTTGAATCTTCAATACCTGAGAATGAATAATCTTGACCTGG